ATACAGTACGGAGTATTCAACAATATTGCGGAAGCGAATTTAATTTTGACATATCATAAATCATTTCAAACTTGTCACATCCATCCCGACAATCTCGCCCCATCTGCCGCCAGAATCACATTAATCTTTCTATTTACCTGCGTGTAGCAAATAAAACACACTACACGCTCAGCGGTAAAGCTGAGTAAGCATATCTAATGCGTCGAACATCCATATAAACTGAATCTAAATTCATAATCAAATCTTTTGATATCATGCACACAAGGTTCGTTTCAGACATTCACAGTTTTGATATTATTTAGTTCATATCAACACATTTTATTCAATTCAGATACTATTTCAATAGTGCTCTTAAATTATTCTTAATCTAAGGCCAGATCATAACAACGCTCTTAGCTATTCTTAGTCTAAGGCCAGATCGTAATAATGCTCTTAACTATTCTTAGTCTAAGGCCAAATCATAATAATGCTCTTAGCTATTCTTAGTCTAAGGCCAAATCATAATAATGCTCTTAGCTATTCTTAGTCTAAGGCCAAATCATAATAATGCTCTTAGCTATTCTTAGTCTAAGGCCAAATCATAATAATGCTCTTAGCTATTCTTAGTCTAAGGCCAAATCATAACTTCCATAACCAGATTCTTTTAAGGTAATTATTGATCAAACACTTAAACTATCATAAGTTTAAGGCAATTGATTTCGGACACTTAACTGTAGTCAGTTAAGGCAATCAGACACTTAAACTATCATTAGTTTAAGGCAAATGATTTCGGACACTTAACTGTAGTCAGTTAAGACAACAACAATATAGCGATTGATCAACATTGGATCGGGCATTTCCAAACGAGTAATCCTCTAGCTTGGTCTACGAATCCCGTTTATCTAATTCATCGAATATTCATGTTTCACAAATCCATACTAATATGAGATCTATTCTAGAGGTTTTCTAGATAGCCTTAACATCAATTTTTTTAAATGTGTATACCTTAGAGTTCTTCTAGATACCCTTAACACTACAAATCATTTCATAATTATAAATGTATTCATTTTATTCATGATTCAATCATAAATACTTATTTTAATCAGTAGGTTCAATACTCATAATCATCCATAATATTCATTTATCATAATCATCAATTAACACAACAATTGATAATAAATAGCGGCCTAGCTTCGAGTGTTAACACCCGAA